CATCGTGCGACTCACGAATTCGAACGTGATTGGATATCGTACAAATTACCTTTTTTGGCCTAAACAGAGGGGTATTCCGGATGTGTAAGCCCAGCCTTAACGTGGTCTAAAAATTATTTTTAGATATAGCCTAAAATATGCTCATTTTTGTGAACTTCAAATACGTTTAGTATTTTTTTAGTGTGAATAAGTGTTACCAACTCAAAATTTTCCAAATCCTTAGATTGGTATAAAAAATTCCGTAGAATTCTGTAGATGCTATTTCAAAATATTCGTACATCTGCAGATTTCGAATCAAGCTGTATATATAAGATAATACTACCATAAAAAATGATTAAAATATATCGTTTTCTTTTAATTTATTTATCTTTAGTTAAAAACAAATAAAATAATTAACACTTATATACTTGTGGATAGTTTAAGTAAACGTAGTTCCGCAGACGATGAAAAAATTCCGTAGATCTACGGAAAAATCGGTAGAGTTGGCAACGTTAAACTTTAATCTAAGTGCTAAGCCACAGAACATATATATCCCTAAAGGGGGTGCTAAGCTGTCAGCCTGGCAGTGTCACTCGCACCATCCATGATATAATTGTTAGAGTGCGTGTAAGATAACTCTGCGCGCGGCCGAAATTGGAACTAATCATGTGCCGCCACTTTATTGTTTATGGCGACTGTCAAAAGAGCCTGTTAGGTGCCGTGTTTTTGTTCTTTTTTGCAGTAAATAACCGTCATCGTTATGCCGAAAGTGATTAAAAGTGCTGGGAGGGGTAAGGTCAAACGTGCTTGTGAAGAAGAACGAGACAATAACGGGCTTAAAGTATCGTTTTCCAAAGTTAAAGTTTTCGGTTCGTTACTCGTTTTTAGTTATCCTTGTGTGGTGTCATTAATATCATGTATTTATAATGCATATAAAGCATTGTTTTTATTTTGGTTTAGGCGTTTTTGAAAGCACTGTCCACCCAAATAACCCAAGAGGGTAATGTAACAGCTACTTTATCTTCTAAAATTGTGACACCGGGAAAAACTACAAACCGGAGGATGATATGATATAGACGATTTTGATATGTGCGCTATAAGGCATTTAATTCAATTGTCTTGCATCGTGTAGAAAGAGATTTCTACCATAAATAAACTTTGCTTGGAATTGAAAACTGATATTGATTTTAAATATGGCAGAACATCGTTGAGGAGTATTTTAAAGACGATAAATACAAAAAGTGCCATTCTAAACGAAAAGTATTAATAGAAAGTAGAGATATTGGAGAGCAGAATATATTCTGAGACTGCGCTAGGTATTCAATGAAAGACTTACAAAGTGTCCATGGACTTTTAATTCCGTTACTTATATATAATAATGCTATTTAATCTTTTGAAGCAGAACAAGGCAAGGCGCAGGTTCGGCCTCACATGGAATACTGTTCCCATCTCCGGGCTGGTGCTCCCCAGTGCCAGCTCCTTCCACTTGACCGCATCCAGCGCAGAATGGCTCAAATCGTCGACGACCGAGTCCTTTCCGATCGGCTCGATTCATTGGGACTGTGAAGAGATGTTGTATTTCAGTTCTGTTTCAAAATACCCTTTTAAAAATTCATTATAGACAAAATATCAGTGTTCATTAATCAATCTTAGTAATAATAATTTATAACACCCTAATATATTCACCTGTAATCATGTAAAAAAAAAATTAAGTAAAATTTGACCAACTTCTCGGTTTTGGATTGAGCTGAAATTTTGCATACAAGTTTAGTTTGGATGACAATGCATGGATAGATAAATGACTTCATTCTAAATCCAATATGGTGGTCTCTCGAAGATGGAGGGCTATTTATTTTTTTTGCATTACCATGATATAGGTATCAAATGAAAAGGTTTGATGAGAAAAATACCAAAAATAAGTGGAGCGTGTTTTTTTAGTTTTTTTTTAACTATAATATTATTTATTTCAAACGCGTTCGCATAAATTAAGTTTTCAAATGGTTTTTTACTACTAATTTATATTAAAATAAGTCTTAAGTACTACAGAATAATATAAATGTATGTCAAACTTAGGAAAGTTACATTCAAGAAATATATTTATTATATGGATCTTAAGCAATAAATTTGGGGTTTAAAACAAATTTATTAGGTATTTGTAAGTTTAAGCTGAACATTATAGTTTTTTTAACTGAACTTTGGTAATCATATCGGTCATTTATGTAATTTGATATAATTATGTAATTCAAGGAAAAAAATATTAGGTAAGATGGCAACATTAAGTGCGCCATCGGTCTCTCTAGTATATATACAGTAATCTATGGGTCGCGCGCAGAGTAGGGGTGTCCACTTAAAAAATATATCGATATTTATATTCGATGTAAAACATCGGATCCCAGCATCGATGTTTATCGATATTTCGCTAGAAAATATCGACGTTTTTTCACTATTGAATACTTTACACAAAAGTTTAATATTACCTTTCTCCAGTGAAACGCGCAAAGTTTGTGGTCCTTGATTTTGTATGTGTGAATGTAGAATCAGAGACCAGAGGAACAAGTAAAAGTTTTACATAAACTTGTCTTAGATAAACAATCAAAAGAATGATTGATTAAATCGTTACCGCCAAACAGCAGAAGACGACGCAAGAAGAGTGAAAGTGAGTGACTGAAAGGAAATATAATGAACCTACAGAATCCACAGACTACTAGTACATCGAGAGTGAATGGTCGATCGATCTGTCAACATAGATTTGGTAATTAAGCTGGTCTTAATGAACCTTATTTAAAATTGAAATCATCAAGTAGTGTTAAAATTATTTAGTTTTTTAATTGATTCGACGAAATAATAAAAAAGCAAATATTCGATGTTTCTATAAATAAATATATCGATATGTCGAATACAATAAATATTTGTAAGAACATCGAATCAATCCGATATATCGTTCGGAAAACATCGAATAAAGTCGATATATCGATGTTAAGTGAATATAGTGAGTTATCATGCACGCACTATAGCTTGCTCACCTTCGAGCATTTTCTATGCTCAAAGTTGCTCACTGATTTTATATCTCTATGGGAGTTTTGGCGGGAATTTGACCGGCGGCGGTTTGCTGCTCCTGTATTATTATTTAAATCACGGAATATAAAAAACAAGAGGAAGTAGCAAAACGCATAATTTGTAGCGAAACCACTGTGGTCAAACTCACATATGCACAAGAAAGAAATGTGTATCAACAATAAAATTATGCACCATTTCAATAATTTTCGCGTGATTGGTTATTTAAAAATAAAAGAGAAAGGCATTATGTTACTCACCATCACCATTCATTTGAGTATGAACAATAAGTTCTTAAGATTAGAGATTATATTCCTTTTCATCAATGAAGTTTCTATAATTAATGAGTAAACTTAGCTTCTTAACGTTAGATATCGCAATAATAAATTCACGCTATTAGAGACCTAATAACAATAAATATAACGTTGACATTGCCCTACCCATGCCCTAACTAACCTGTACTGCTACGTGAATGATGATAGTGATGTAGTTGCTCTGCCATATCTGGCATATATAGACATTCAATATAATATGATTATTATCATGTATATGAATTGACTGAAGAAACTAAATTGAAAAAAGAACAACAATATATGATAAAATAGCAAAATTTAATGGAAATTGCCATAATGTACCATGTACCTGTAATTCATATAACCGGCATATAATTAATTGTATTTAATGAAAATTTATTTACAATAAGCTAAATTATAATTTTTGAAATGGAAACAAGGCGAATAATAAAAAACAATAATTTAGCAATTGTTTATTGTCATTGAAATTACACATATTTGTTTAAAAATTATCGTGTTCACACTTTCATGTAAAATTTTAGATGATAATGAATTCGGTTACCAATGTAGATCACGATATTAAGATCACTTTTATTTCAGCTTTTTTCCAAGTCATGAGTACTACCAAACTACTTATTTATTTCTCTGGCTTAGCAACCCTAACAAATGTTCATTCGTAGGCTTCATCCTACAATTTCGTATATTTTCAAAGACATCCAGCATTTGCAAATTTTCATTAATATGTTAGTGAATGAACAGGATTGTGATAACGTTTTATCGAAAACTTTAATGTCGGCGTAGTTACAACGCTATCGCAGCTATTTTATTCAAAACGTATTTACAGCTGAACCTTATCTTAACGAATTAAGGTTGAATATTGCTTGTAATAAAGGCAATTTGACATTTTGTCCATGTTTAGTTAAGTTTCTATCCAAAAAATTAAAAAATTACACGTGCCTTTGGTACAAAACACCTATATTCGAAATAATTTTATTTTTTACTTTCGTTTTTACACTCCTAAATTGCACAAAACAGCATATTTTCGCATATATTACTTAAGCAGCGACCCGTGAGCTCGCAACAATTTGAGTTTGCGACTGACGGTCTAGTCACTAATTGTGACACGCCTGCCCCGCCCACTTTGGGCTTCCTCTTGTGTTTTATATTCCGTGGTTTAAATTATGGTTTGAAGTGGACTTTGATAGGTAAGAGTGGTGTGATTTTGTGTATTAAGTGTCTGCGCATGTGAACTATTAGTGGAAACTGTGAAACAAGTGCTCTGATTCTTAAAATAAGGTGTCTGTGTGCTTAGGCGCCTTGAGATACCATCGCCAACTGTCAGCTGTCTGCTGGCTCAAGTTGCCGTCAAAATCTCCCAAGGGCTGCACAATGTGACGCATCAACATATTGTGAAGCAGTATACTATGAAGGATATTATAATATATTGTAACTTCAGGCTCAAAAGGGCTAGATCCCAGAGCCGTAAAGCCAGTTATTAAAAAGAAGAAGATATATCTCTATGAACTTGCTAGACATTGCTAGATATCTATTGGATATCTATTTATCTATGATAATTGTTTTGTTTGGATTTTGGTCAGGTACAACTACAATTACAATACAATCTCAAACTAATACGATTAAGAATAAGAAGTGCTAGGGAATAATAGTACTGAAATGGAGACGAGTGATGCTTCAGAAATTTCAAATACTCAAGTAAATGTTACAATTAACAGACCAATCAGAATTTTACATTTCAGCGATGGGGTTGAAGAAGAAATTCAGGAAGCAAATGTTAATGAATTAGCAAGCGTACCCAAAATTGAAGATAATATTGACCCAGTGAGTAAGCAAATATAAGTGAACCTACTTTTAACGTTTACGGCGGGATTTTGTGTGTTCGAAATTGCTTATAATAATAGATTAATATAATTATAAAGGCTTTGTATATTCTAAACATAATTTTGTCTATCTGTGAAACATTATCTTGTGGTAAACTGGGCTAAATAATACATTTTAAGTTTTAACGGCATTACCTATTATTATATCTCAAAATATCTAGAACCATAAACTGCAAAGCGACCTTGAGTTTCCTCATATGGGCAGTGGTGATGGACTGTATCTTAATTAAATTCATATGTCATCACTCGCCAAAGTTTAAGTGCCTGTCTAGTGGGATAAATGTACTTTACATTCACATTTGTGATTATTCACATCTTTTATTGGAAATGACAATTTTTGTTATACTGGCTAGTAGTGACACATCATCATCATCATCATTACAGCCCTTCACAAGTCCACTGCTGAACATAGGCCTCCCCCAAGGAATGCCACAAAGCACGGTCCTGAGTCACCTGCATCCATTGACTTCCTACATATCTTACCACGTTGTCACTCCATCTAGTGGGAGGATGCCCTACACTTCGTCCGCCAGTACGAGGCCGCCACTCAAGAACCGTTTTTCCCCGTCGGTAATCGGTTCTTCGAGCTATATGGCCGGCCTATTGCCAATTCAGCTTACTAATTCGTTGGGCTATGTTGGTCACTCTGGTTCTACTGCGGATATCCTCTTTTGTAAGTTTATCACGCAGAGAAACTCCGAGCATAGCCCTCTCCATAGCTCATTGAGCGACCTTGAGCTTCCTCATACGGCCAGCAGTGAAGGAAGGACCAGTCTCAGTTCCATAGGTCATCACTGGCAACACACACTGGGTGTACAGTCTCGTTTTCAAGTATTGAGGTATACCTGATGAGAAGATGTGTCGTAATTTCTCAAACACTGCCTAACCGAGTTGAATCCGTCGATTGACCTCTCGGTCGAAGTTGGACTTACCTAGTTGGACTATTTGTCTCAGGTAAACATACTCGTCAACAACTTCAAGCTTAGTACTCCCAACAACTACCGGCATAGGTGTGACATGGACATTAAACATGATCTTTGTTTTGTCCATGTTCATCTTAAGACCTTAGTAGTGATTATACTAACTTAATTGTTGGTGCAGTTTGAGTAACCTCTAAAATTTAATATCTTGCATTATTGGAATAAACAAATTTTATGGATTTCATTGTGTTAAATATATTATAAAATAGGTAAGTAAAAATAAGTTAAATGTGATATAATCTGTAAATTAGATTTATTTAATGATTAGTATTTGCACAAATGTAAGGAAATGATATTTCCACAAATATCTTGCATAATTACTAAATGTGTGACATTTCTTTTAAAAATCATTTGTTCACCTTTACAACCTTAAAATAGCACTATTTGGAAACATTAAAAATTATAACTATTTTTGAATATGAGTTTATTAGAGTGGTAAATAGGGAAAGGATGGTGTAAGGAGTAGATTGATACAAGTGTCTCATTGCTGTGCTTTGTTGCATTGGTTTAGGGCAGCCCTATGTTTAAAAGAGGTTTTGTGATGGTCTGTAATGATGATGGTAATGAAATAGGGAAAATAAAGCTCTCTAAAAATACATTAACACACTTTACATTTGTCATCATGATCATCTACACACACACACATTACCAATCCACATGCCATGCGTTTCCATTAAAGTAAACCCTCCCACTAATGAGAGAAAACTATGTCCAGCAGTGGACATTTACTGGTTGATGCAGAAGGAGAAGATATGTAATAAATCAATATTTTTAATAATATAGAGTTGAATTGGTTTTAGACAACACTATCGTGGGGTCCATGGTTTTCTCATTATGCAATGAAGTCAGGAAAAAAAGTATTAAATGCAGTGGATTATGCAGGGGAGTCCCTCGCTAACTTCTTCGGTATAACCACCCCAAAGTATCAGATTGAAATAGATGAATATGAAAGAATTAAGGAAGAAAAAAAGAAGATGGAAGAAGAATCCATTGGATGGGTGCCAAAAAATGGTGGTGGCAATATACCATTGGTGTTAAATGAGCCAACAAAAGTATTACACAAAATTAATAATAATTCCTCATAATGTTTTTTTATATTTGTATATTAAAGGCAAAGTCAATGATTTTTATTTTTATATCTGATAAATAAATTAATATTATTTTGAAACTTAAATGTGCAATTGGATTTTGATGAATGTTTTACTGCAATATTTTCATACAATTTTTTTTATTGATTTGTTATATTTTTCACTTATAATTAATAAGTTAGTTTAATACCTTAATATTTATTACCAAAGATATTGTTGCCAACGGAGTGAGTAAAAATGGCAATAAGGATGACATGAATGTACTTGTAGCCGGTGGAAGGAAAAGGGGAGATCTCCCGCCGGACAAGGTGTTCTGCCCGGGGAGCGGCCAACGCTCCTATTGGATATTGGTAATTCGGAGCTATTCTATATATGCTGCTTTAACTTTGGAACTTTGTTTGTGCAGTTTAGGCTTCAATGTGTTTCGCTTGTGGCGCGACGACAGCGCCGCCACATCACCCCCCTGCTCAGACCGGAGGTCGATAGTGCAGTCTAGATGTTGTCGAATTTACAAGTGCCAGGGAATTGCCTTGTAAGTCTGCAGTGAGTTGCGAAGAAGGCAAGTAATCTGCGAGAGTGCCGTGAAGCAGAGGCGAGCAGTAAGGCTCAGAGCCGTGCCGAACACTGTAGCGCAGAGAGTAGCTTGAAGGAACAGGAAGCTTTATTATTCCAGTGCTGCGATGAACCTTTGTAAAGCTAGATAGCTTGCAGAATGTGAAGACTGCAGACAATATCTGCTCGGGAGCGAATGAATGGGGTACTTGAGGACGATGACGATGTAGTTTCCGAAGGTTGTTGGTTGCTTGTTCATATCACGTCGGGTGGTCACCAATGTAGCCGATGGAAGGAAAGCCCGCCGGACAAGGTGTTCTGCCCGGGGAGTGGCCAACGCTCCTATTGGTAGTGCGGAGCTATTCTATATAATATGCTGTTTTAACTTCGGAACTTTGTTAGTGCGATTTAGGCTTCGATGTGTTTCGCTTGTGGCGCGACGACAGCGCCGCCACATACTTAACTTACATTTCATTAGGTTTAGTCTTGTTTGAATCAATAAGGTCTATTGTCTATTCTTACGTCTACACATTTTATAATTTTTTTTTAATAGGATAAGGGTAACAAACGAGCACCCAGTCCAGCTGATTCTAAGTGGTTGCTGTGGCCTAAAGACATCTACATCTATCCTTGATAACAAATCAAAATGCAGATGCGTTGTCACCTGTGAGGGCTAAGATGGAATGCCTCCTTTCCAGTAAAAAGGGTCTCCGGTTCTCTACACTCACCATATGATACACAGCAGCTTACCCATTCGTGCTACAACTATATCAGTAATATACCTGCAGTATGGCTCTACCACGTTAACTTGACAGGGGTGCTTTTTATTACGCAATTAAATGTAATTTATATCTCACCAAAATCATAAATGCAAAAATGGGGCCACCTTTTGATTATAAATAATAAGATCGAATGGGCAATATCTAAAAGAATGTACAACATTTTTGGAACTGTTATGGAGCTTAGCGCGCGTACTCTTTTATCGGCAAAGTCCTAATTTTCGAAAATAAAATAATTATTTTATTAATAAATAAATAAATGACCTTGACGTTTTTCTTGGGATTTTTCCCCAGTGTTTATTTTCAATATATTTAAATAATTATAAGAATTATTTGTCGTCAGTTAATTACTGTACATATATAATGTACTCTGTGTACTAGATTGCTACATATTTATTTATCTATGCTATGTACTGTACTGAAAACTAACCGCACCAATAACCTTTTCGACATCGAATATCGATTATTTGCACTTTACCGATTTTTTCCTTTTTTTGAAAATACTATTATGTCACTGCTCAAAATGTAAACTGGGTTTTTCATGAGTGCGTAATTGATAAAATTGCATTTTTCATATCTAACTCAAGAACTAATTAATGTTCTAGGTATTCAAGGAGACTGTAGTCTTGTGCCTGGTCCGTTATTTTAAAGATCGTTCCGTATTAGTACATTACGGACAGTGAACTAGTTCGTTCTATTAGTTCAATTCTGTCATCAGTACTACTAATCTGTTTAAATTGTATCTATCTTTATGGAATGGTTATCTCAGTCAGTCACTGACTGAATCAGTCAACAGTCAGAACAGGTTAATGCAGTCAGTCTCAGTCGGGCGATATTTCGCCGAGTCGTAACGTTGTGTAATAAAAAATATTATTCACTTAAAATATGACATAATATTTGATTTCCCTTCATACTTGAACTGGCTTAGGACAGTCATTCTAGTCAATAGCATAAAGATAATATTATACCATTTTTATGTATTGCAATAAAATATTACTGTTTAAAAATGTATTTATTGCTTTTCGAAGTATTCTCCGCGAAATTTGACACATTTTTCCATACGATGGAACCAATAATTGAAGCAACCATTCCATTCGGAAATTGGGGTCTCCAAAATGGCCCTTTTGTAGGCGTCCACAGCTTCTTCAGGTGATGAAAATCTCTGTCCACGCAATTTAGGCTTAGGTCGGGGCTGTACGGCGGATGGTCGAATAATTCTATGTTTTCTTGCTCTAAAAACTATTGTTCTGTGTGCGGTGTGAGAACTCGCATTGTCGTGATGGAGGATGATGCGGCGTTTGCAGTTCTCTTTACGGAGTTGAGAAACGACCTGTGGCAAACAAATGCTAGCACACCATTCTGCATTAACCGTTCTTTGCAACACTCTGAACGAACAATTTTTGTTGGCTTTAACTCATTTTCGAACACCCAAACTCGTGACTGGTTTTTTTGTTTCGGGTTCGTACGCATATATCCAGGATTCGTCACCTAATACGATGTTGTATACAGCATTTGAGGATCCTGCGTGGAATCTTTCGAGAGTTCTGACGCACCAAGTAACGCGAGCCGCTTTTTGCTCTTCACAGAGCGAATGCGGTATCCATCGGGAAAACAACTTTTTTACACCTAATTGTTCATGCAAGATTATTTGTATTTGACTCATGCCGATGTCTAAAGTTGCCTGAATTTCGCGGTATGTCGCATGTCGATCTTCCTCAATCAGCTTACGCACAGCATTAACGTTTTCTTGGGTGACTGCAGTTTTTGGACGACCTTGACAGGGATCATCACTGAGCTTGACACATCCACGTTGAAACTCAGCAAACAAGCGATAAATTGTGGTTTTGGATGGGGCTTCATCACCAAATTCAGAAATCATCCGGTCAACACACTGTTTTTGTGTTAAACCACTTCGAAAGTCATAATAAATCATCGCTCTTGAATTTTCTCGAGTCAATTCCATTTTCTCAACGACTAAACAAGTTTGATAAAACCTTGTGACAAGAACGAGAATCTTTTAAAAAAAAATGGTATTCGATTTTTAAAACCAAGGAGTTTTCAATTAAAAAGATTTTAATATGACAGGAACAGTGGAAATATTCCATTCCCGATACTTTTAGTGCAGCCCTCGTATTATGGTAAAAGGCTAAGCAAAGAGCAGGGATTTGTTGTAAACTTACTAGGTGATTTGGGTAGCTAGCTACAGAGAGGCATTCATCGGCTCTTGTCCTTGAATTAAAGATGGTTATAAATATTTTAACTGTTAAAATAATCAGTTAAAATAACAAATTTATTAAATAAATAAGATAAGATTAACCATAATAAAATTATCATATTTCAGTCCATTCATAACAATCTGCGATCGATTTGTTACCTTGGTGAGTTATAATTTTATATTAAATTTTATATTTATGCCATCTAGCGTCTTTACGTGCCACCTTGAGAGTCAATTAACTTTCGTTTGACGAAATGACATTAATACCTGTTGAATGGAGTAGATGGCGGTTTACAAAGCAGTGTTATTCGAATGAAAATATTCCTTAAAAACATCAATATATGTATCATGACATTAAAACTGTGGCTTCACATGTCTAAAAATAAGCATTGTAATAATTATTTGCTATAAAATTAACCTTATATCCAATATTTTATTTAACTCTATGTCTACCTTGAATGACTACTGACCGATTCTGGGATGGTCTGTTTCGTGCGTCGTTCTTTGCGTCATAGTTCCCACTACCCCACTAATTCGTATTTCGCACGCACGGTTTAGCGTTGGCGTCTTGCGATTTAGGTGAACGAAAAGAACTGTTAGACCGATTAACAATCGGCATTCGGAAACGTTTCTTCTAGTACAGTGGCAAGATACGTTTCCTAATCGTTCATCGTTCGCGAAATACACAAGACTAGGAGACTATGTAGAATTAAAAGTTAGTGTGTAGTCTAAATATTTTAGTTATGGGGCTTGAAATTGTTCGTGTAAAATTAAAATAAACAGCTAATGCGTCGCATCGGCCTTTTGAATAAATAACTTTATTTGAATGAATGAATATTGCGTTATCTTTTTCGAACTTGGCTGAGCGAGAATAAACTACTTGTACATATTCCCTCTACGGCCCGCAAATGACTATCGACCATACACATACATTACTGTATATATTATACTAGAGACTTCCTGTATAGGACAGTAAATTACTTATACTATACTCTGCTAGAGACTGTCGTAGTGTCTTGACAATATTACACTAGTAAATGTAGTAATCATAGACTTAGAATATGTATATTCTAAGTCTATGGTAGTAATATACTCTTGTATCTTGTATACCAGTGAGTTCAGACTGAAAAGAGATAAAAAAAGTTAAAAAGTGAGGTTTGGAGACATCAAGTATCAGCATTATGACAATAAAATATAATAATAATTTCATGAACTGTGTTAAAATTAATTACCTAACAAATCTTCTTTTGTATATTTCTAATGTAATAAATATTTGTTGGCAATAAATTTAATAATATCATTTTATTATGGGTTTTCTTTTAATTACTCCATTTTGCTACGGATTTGTATGTTATAGACATCATTTTTGAACCGAATTCAAGAAAGAAGGAAACGTAAAGTAGAACCTTTACTATTCGACGTGTATTATGTAAATACTTACCTATGTTCAC